ACAGCCACAACATCCCTTTCAGTGGATCAACCACCAGAATCAGAGTCATCAGACCACTATACCTCCCCAGCTTCGTCATCTGGGAGCTTCGAAATTGCAGATCCGAGCACTGTACTTATCTGGATAGCAGATAAGTTACAACTGTTAAAAAGTACTTCAACGGAGGACACTTTTATCATCATTTGTTGTGCCTTCAGCCTCATCGCCGAACATCACACTCCCTCCGAGACCAGTCCTACAGGATATGGCCACCAATTTAGACAAAGCATTTGGATCCTTTCGCTGTCTTAGTGATCAGCATCAATCTCCACGCTTTGCATTGGCGGATGCAGGGACTCATGGATTGTCTACGATTGCTCCCAAACTAGATGGTGACATCGCAACATTGGCTCCTAAGCGTCCGTACTCTGCTTCTTCAGTGGATGATAGGGACCTCGTTCATCTGAACACAACTGTTCGAAGGACCCTCCCGTTGGTCTCCACTATTTTATCGGCAAATGAAGCACTCTCATCGGCTTTATCTCATGCAACTTCCTCGGAGGAATCCTGTATTCGAGGTGCTGTGACCCTCATCCAGGATAAAACAACAACTATACTAGACCTCCTTGTTCACCATGCAGGATCTATCACTACTTTTCATAGGCGTGGGGTGTTACAACATTGCTCATGGGATGATCAATTTAAGAACAGGCTGTACCAACTGCCATGGTCAAGACCCTCCCTTTTTGTTGGGTGCATACAGGAGGTCGCCCATGAAGTCCAAAGAGACACTTCCCTGCAAGTCACTGTCGACTTACTTCGTCTCCAAAGAAATCAACTGGAAGAACAAAGGAAAGACCGAAGACGACTATCCTTTACTCCCTCTCAACAAGACCTTAGAGAGATTTTGAGTAAATAATCTGCTTCTTTTCGTGGCTGTGGCCGAGCATGCCAACATCAGCAAGGTGGGAAATCAGGCGGACGCACCGTCTCCTTTTCAGGGACTAAAGAAAACACCAACTCTCCTAAGTCAGGAGACACTAACCCCAACAGCAGAACGACTGGGTCCTTCCGACTCCAGCCATTCCGATTTTTGTGTCTCCTGTAGGCGGAAGACTAGGCACGTTCGCTTTAAAATTGGACCATCCTAGACGACCCATATGTGTCTCATCTTCTACAAACAGGTTATCCTCTACCTCTTGCCATGACACCTCCGATGACGTGCAAACCGCCTCAACATCTATATCCAGCCAAACAACTTCCAGTTCTGATAGACACCATAAGCACGTTACTTGTAAAGAACGCAATGGAGTGTCTGGGCACTCGGACAATGATGCCAGGGTTCTATTCTCCAATTTTTCTTGTTCCCAAGAAAGACAGTCCTCAACTATGTCTCATCTTCAACATGAAATCCTTCAACAAGCTATACTTAGAGACTCCTCCACACTTTCGCATGACATCAATTGCTCTACTACGAATGATTATTCATCGCGGCAACTTCATGATCAGCCTAGATATACAAGACGCGTACTTACACTAGCCTTTCCTGCCTGAGCACCGCAATTTTCTTCTGTTTGTGTTCCGAGGCAACCACTACCAATGGCGAGTGCTCGCATTTGGAATTTCTTTGGCCCCGTGGCTATTTACACGCCTCACAAAACCCATCGTCAAGTTCGTACACACTCGACGACAGCATTCAAACCAACAAGGATTTGAACACTCTACTTTGTCACCTCGATTTCTCTCAACGCCTACTTCAACAACTAGGTTGGATAATCAACACAAAAAAGTCCAAAACAATTCCAAGACAATGTCTCCAGTTCACCGGAGCCCTCTTCGACACAAGTCTGGGCAAGATACCCCAAGATCATTGGGAGAAAATCCAATGCCTTGTTCTATTGGCATTCAAACAGCCACTTTCCTTACGTCAATGGCAACAACTTCTCAGCACAAGCCCTCACCAAGAGACGTCAACTTCACTTATGGCCAATCCAGTGCTTCCTCAAGCCCTTCCTTCAGGATGACGATTGTCAGGTCCTAATATCTCTTCCGAATCATCTACACCCACACCTCAAATAGTGGTTAACTCCATCAAATGTCTGCATAGGTGTGTCTACCCTCACCCCTACCCTCCATCTGTTCATCGACGCCTCAACCTTGGGATCGGGAGCTCATTGGCAAGACCTGCAAGTGGCAGGGCGGTCGTCACTAGAAGAAAGCCAGCTTCACATCAACGATCTAGAATTCAAAGCAGTGATTCCGGCAGTGTCTCATTGGTCGACACTCCTTCAGTCCTGCACACTAATGATTCAGTCAGGCAACCTATCGGTCGTGTGGTATATAAACAAGATGGGATCCACCAAGTCAACGTCACTGCTATCTCTAGCGCTCGACTTCTTCAAACTCATCGACTCACTCAACATTCAAGTTTGAGCAAGACATATTCCCGGCATCGCCAACGTCACAGCTGACCCACTGTCCCGACCCCACGAACCATCGCCCACGGAATGGCGACTATATCCCATGATTTTTCAGTGGATTTGCCAGTTATTTCCGTGCCCCGACGGCGACCTCTTCGCAACCCGCTTCAATACTCAGCTATCCCAGTTCGTATCTCCAATCCCAGACCCCCTCGCCTTGGACAACGATGCGTTAGCAATCCAACGGGATGGACTGCATGCTTACACGTTTCCCCCACCGGCATTCTACATTGGGTCCTACAGAAAGACAGAAAATTTTATCATCTACCTCTACGGTACGATCTTCTGCATAAACCACACTCTCAGCTCCGTCATCATCAACAACACTCAATCTATGCGTTTGGCTCATTTACAGAAATCATTGATAGCTAAGGGTTATTCTGAACGAGTGGCCAAGACCGTTGAGGGGGCTCATAGGTCATCTACTAAAGCACTATATGACCATGAATGGAAGGCATTTGAATCGTATTGTCATTCACATGACATTTCCACTCTTGCCACGGCATCCCTGCAACAAATTGCTGAATACCTTCACTATCTTCGATCATCTCGGAAAGTAAAAGGTTCAACTCCAGCTGCCTACTTAGCTGTGATCAATTCTGTCATCGCAACTTCAACGGGCACTAAGATTTCTACAATCGCTAAATTACAATCATTGATCAGATTGTACAAGTTGGCGGACCAAACATCACGTTTTCGATCACCAACTTGGGATCTAAACGTCATACTTCGCCATCTAACTTCGGCCGAGTACGAACCTCTCCCCGAGAAAGATTTCAAACACATTTCTTTGAAGACAGTTTGCCTTCTGGCCCTTGCAACGGCGGCTCGAGTGAGTGAAATTCAAACTTCAGATTTCAAGAGAGTGCGTTTCGAACGAACCGCACATGGGAAAGTATTATGGGGACTATGATGGGATTTCATCGCCAAAAAACAACTTCCTGGTCAACCTGATTGACTATTCAGCATCCCACCGTTGACCCCCCTTTTAAACCCTGACGAAGACATATCGTTGTGTCCGGTACATGCACTTCGAATCTATTTTGAAGCGGCGAAACCACTTCGTCGATTATGTAAGAGGTAATTTATCCCGCTCTCTGCGGCAGCTACTACGGAAGTATCCCGTACCACAATCTCATTTTGGATACGCCCAGTGATCCTTCGAGCCTACATCTTCGCTGGCCTACCTGCCCCAGTCGCATATAATCCACACGAAACTGTTGCTTCCACAATGGCACTTCATAGTAACTGCTCCTTGACCGCAATTATGGAGGGATGTTTCTGGAAATCCGATACCGTGTTCGCATCCCATTACCTCCGAGACATCTCAGTGACGGACTTTCAAGGCCTTCACCAGTTTGGACCCTTGGTACTCGCACAACAGATATCCAAGACACACCTGTGCAGATAGGGAGATGTATAACCAGATTTTCATTACATTACATCCATCCCTATTTATAATAAACATTTGTCATGGTTATTTGTGTTTATTGTATTCATTCGGGCTTCCCGGACTGAGTATCCAGTCGGAGGATATAATCACTCGTCTTCAACTTGAAGTCGTCATTAGACGCGGCCGATTTCAGTGTCCCGATCCCCTTTTTCAAACACCTCTAATTCAGGTATGTGTTTTGAGTAACCGATCGATGATCCTTTTGTGGATATTGCCGATCGTTTCCTCTTCTCGTTTTTCACCCATCGATTCAATCACTGAGATGAATGAGGCTTTCACGAAGCGATAAAAGAGATGCCGAGCGGGTCCAACCTATCGTCCTCTGGAGATAGGAATACCCCGTCTTGAAGATTCGACGACTGGATGCATACTCTCTCGAATATAAGTCGTTCCGTTCGTTTTAGAAAAACGATTACGTTTGAACTTGTTACACATGTTGTAACCGACTTATTGTGTTTCAGTTGTTCGCGTATCAGGATCTCAACATTCTTTGAGAGTGTTCTTCTTATCCTGTCTACGAGTTGTTGTTTTTTTTTTGGGGGGGGGTTCTGTCTTACGACACTTAACTGTGTTACTGTATTAAGTATTGTACCACTGTTAAGTTCCAGCTTTCTTGTAAATATCCTACGGTTGTGATCTATAGACAAGGGAGTTGCGCCCCACAATCCAACCATGGGATAAAATGCATAGTGTGAGATAGGATAAGTTTAAAAATTTGAAAATGTTATTATAAATTGTATATTTATATACTTATCCTATCTCACACGTTATATGCCCATTCGTCCATCCCCGCATCGCAATTCCTTAGTCTATATGCTCTTGAAAGAGAATGAGTTGACTGGGAAAGACACGTGATCAGTGCAAGAAGGTCAACCAGCATGCATAGCGCGCATGACCCAGATCTGGGAGGTGACCGTGGCGATGTGAGGTATGACAGGGTTAATTAACTTTAGAAGCTGGAAACTTTTATTTCAGACACGTTACCACTCAGAATCAAAAGAAGAAAGAGAAATGCATAGTGTGAGATAGGATAAGTGTATAAATATACAATTTATTATAAAAAATTCAATTTTGACCTATGTTATTACAGACGATGACTGTAGATGTCAGAGACAAGAGATTTGCTACATCATCGAAGAGAGTCAACAACTATGGGCGCGCCATCGACTGTTACACCCGTCACGAGGGTAATGTGAGAAACAGCTGCGGTCCAAAGGGCACGTTCCATATTGACACCACAGGAACAGGCCTTGTTTTTAACAGAACGGTAAGACGGCCCATTACGCCAGCGGTAGCAAAAATACGATTCAGAATGTTTCCCAGGAGTTCTCATTAAGTCACGTTTTGTTTACTTGTAGAGATAAAGGGATTTTTTTTAAAATACGCTAAAATGATAAGGTCCGAGAGTTCTTTAAAATGTATCACCACAAACAATGGAACGCTATGGCTTCACACTTTAGGGACGCTTTAAGCTTACCTGTCAAGGCGCATACAAGTAAGATTGTTTTATCACATTCATCGCATCTTGTTTGGAAACTAGAGTGTTTGTAAGTAGTACATGTTTATCTGATGGTTAACTTGTAACCTGACATTGAAATTTATATAATACAGCTTCATCAATTCTGTTGTGTTCTGTTGTGCGGAAGGTCCGGGGTTCGATGCCCGGACGCGTCATACCAAAAGACGTTGAAAGATGGTACTTGTTGTTACCCTGTCTGGCGCTCGGCATTAAGGAGTTATAACAAGGACTGGTCGGCTTGGAGTCCGTTTACTGTGTCTGAGTGGGGTAATCCTGTTAAATTGTGGCATGGTATCTCAGTGAGCTAGCACTGTAAAATCAGAATAGTACAAGCAGCCAAACACACACACACACACACACACACACACACACACACACACACACACACACACACACACACACACACACACACACACACACACACACCTGCACGCACACCTACACACACACACACCTGCACACACACACACACACCTCCTCATACACACACCTGCACACACACCTGCATGCACGTCGCTATATGTGTGCAATAATCTTGGACGCGACGTTAAACCCATTTCACCTCACCTCTATTGTGTTTCCTGCAGTGTGAGTTGACCTAGCTAGACTGTTGTGGTTACTCCCTTTGCTATGTGGCCCGTGAAGACGCCGGGGTAGAATAGGTCTTCAGCAACCCATACTTGCCGTAAAAGGTGACTATGCTTGTCGTAAAAGGCGACTAACGGGATCGGGTGGTAAGGCTCGCTGACTTGGTTGATACATGTCATCGATCCCAATTGCGTGGATCGAGGCTCATGATATTAATCACTGGATTGTCTGGTCCAGACTCGATTTTTTACAGACCGCCGTCATATAGCTGGAATATTGCTATAGTGCGGCGTTAAACAACAAACCAACCAACCAACCCTTTTGCTATGCAGCTGGAATGGCATCTAACAACGGGAAAGTCTTGGGGAACCCTAAATAAATCAGCTGACGGGACCGTCATAGATATCCTAGGAGGTGGGTATTGTGGAGGATTCAGGCCGTATGAACCAATGACGTTGGAGATAAATCCACTAGAGGGTGAGACAACCTTTAATAGCTCTTTTATAGGAGTCTTTTCATAAAACACGGTCATCTCTTTTAATGACTGTCTAAATGTAATGGGACATATGCAATTGAACAACTCATCTCCAACATGAGTCGGGGGCACGGGTGGCCCATTCGTCTAAGTCACCGCGATTCACTGTGCAGAGTTGCGTCCCGTTGACATGCCAGAAATGTATGATTGTTGGTTCGAATCCCGGTTCGCCCCGATTATGTTTCTAGGTTTTTCAGCACCATACCCGTGCTCGTGATTTTCACCGAAGTGGTAAACGCCTGACACCTGCATTACTTCGGACTTTCCTCAAAAATGAAGCTGACACGCCGTGATATAACTGGAATACTGTTAAAAGCGGCGTTAAACCCAACTCACTCACTCACTCACTCAAACATGGTTCACTTTTTAACTTGAACGCCTGTTTACGGACAGTTTTTTATACATTTTGTACAGCTGAACAATAAGTATAAGATCGTATGTTGGAATTAAGGTTGAGGTAATGATATGCATGCGCGATGACAGTGCCATCTGGAAATATTTCTCTGTGTCTATGCAACAAGTTTTGACTGAATAAATCACCTTATGTAAAAAAATATTTAAGTCAGCGTCATCATTTCTTTCAGGCCTAAACTATCCAATGCATTTTAAAGTACTAAATATACATATATTTATCTACCTGAGAGAACGAAGTGAAGGATAAACAGGTGCTTTACGTTGTTATTATTTGTAAATAGTGTGCCAACATTCTACATTGCAGTTGTGGGCGACACGACCGATGACGTCTGTGCTTAGAAGACTCACATCCGGACAAACGCAACCTCAAGCTTTGTGTGTTTGTCCACATTTAAAACTGGGCGGCAAAAGAAAGTATAGGTCGAGTTCCATGATCGATAAAAAAAATAACAAGAAGAGGTTTTGTTGTGAATTATAATATAATCTAGGGAGGGGTAACAAATGATTGATCAACCATAGTTTGAATGAAATTGTGCAATCACAGGTAATGTAAGCTCAAGGTAAACAATGGTGGGGTAAGAAATTTCATTTTCAAACGTTGTCTGAAATGTCACCAAAAAATTGGGAGACACGCTACAACTTCATTGTTGACACAGTTGCCTTCTATAGCGTGAATGACCTCCAGCTGCCTTAATGCATGCTGTGATACGACGCCTCATCGATGACGTCAGTCTTCTGATGACGTGGACTAGAATCCGTTGCCACTCCTCTCTCAGGGCCTGCTGCAATTCTTGTCTGTTGACGGGAGGCTGATGGCGTGCTCTAATCTGTCTGTCAAGATGGTCCAACAGATGTTCTATAGGATTCATATCGGGTGAGTGGACAGGCCAGGGCAAAACGTCAACGTTCTGCTGGTTAAGAAAGTTCCGAGTCAGTCTTGCAGTATGGGGCCTGGCATTGTCGTGTTGAAACAATGTTCCCTGCTATTGGTTTTGTAAGAACGGAAGCACAACTGGCTGCAACACTTGGTCTCTGTACTGCACAGCGTTCAGGTTTCCCTGTATAGTCACCAAATCAGTCTTCTGATTTCCGAAAATACCGCCCCACACCATGACACCTCCCCCGCCGAATGGATGGAACTCTCGAATACACACCGGAGCCAAACGTTCCCCTCTGCGTCGATATACCCGTTCTCTGTCGTTATTTCGAAACAAGTTAAACCGACTTTCATCAGTAAACAGCACTCGACGCCAAATTCTCACTTGCCAGCATCGAACCTGCCTCGCCCGTCGCAGTCTCAGGCGTCGATGTTGAGCAGTCAGTACCATTCATCGGAAAGGACGATACGCTCGGATTCCAGCAACACGAAGTCGTCGTAGTACTGTACTTTGGCTAATGGGATGTCCCAACGCTGTTGCTGCCGTCGCCGTTACGAATCTTTTTCGCAGGTGAATGAGCCGTATCTGACCGTCTTCCAGTGGTGTTTACGCTCGGGGTCGACCGGTTCTAGGCCTGTCCACTGTCCTCCCTGTCTGCCTGTACCGTTGAATCAGCCTGGCTACTGTGGTGTACACTCTCTCTCACCATTTTTTTGTCACCGCACGAGCGCCGTCAAAGGTGGCGCGTTCGGGTGAGGTGTTTTTGTACCTGTTCCTGGGCAGTCATATTCCCAAAACCCACTTTTCAATAGTTATCGCTGTTTTTAGGAAAATTACAAATTGCCAACCTATACTTTCTTTTGCCGCTTAGTTTAGATCCAGACGTTATACGCAAACTGCTGAGAAAAACGGTTCTCAAAGATACAAAGAAAATATGGCCAAATGTATTTTGCACATTTCAAATATTAGAATTAGTAAGAAAGGTTCCCAAATCACCAGCTGTATTCTGTAAAATGTCATGTTTTTGTCAGCAATTATTTTATAACTATCTTCTGCAGTGAGTGTTTGAAAATTAGATTAATGTTAGACCGAATTGATAGTCTCTTTATTTCATTTGAAACCGAACGCGTAGTGTGACGTCAATTCCTCATTCAGAAGTGTTTCAAACTTATGGGATATCTCAAGCTGTGTCTAAACGGAAACAAACGTACTGTTTACCAGGTAGGAAAATATTATGTTTCAATTTGGTTGTTAATTAGGTATAAATAGGGATGTATTTGTACAAGGCTCTCTTTTCTATTCTCTTTGGGTAAACATTGTTTGATTATGGTTAAGCCTATAGGCACATTGTAATTAATTTTTAGCATTCTAAAAATACAATTTAATATGATGTGGAGATTTTCGAATAAATGTGAAGGCAAAGTTCATATAATTGTGTTTTCGAAACCAAAGCTATATTTACTGTTTTATTTTCATTAATTCCCCCACTTTGAAAGATCCAAACTCCCAGTGCGTTGTCCGTAGGGTTGATTTGGATTGGCCTTACAGGAAAACAGTCTCGAGGTCAGCCTCGTCTATTGTTCCAAAACGGCCCTGGCTCCAGAAGTAATTTGTTTTGCATTTCTTGTGGGAATGATTTCTTAATTTGTGTTGGAGAAAATAGCGTTTCACGAAATAATTTAATAATATATAAATATAGAACTAGACGGTAGCTGGTTAGTGACAGGTTTCATCATGAAATTGTAAACAAAACTCGGGTGATTATGGTGATCAGTTTTCGCTTTTTCAATAGTTACTAGACAGTTATTTTTCTTCATCAGTTGTTGTTGCCAAACCCAACTTCAATTTGTCAACGCTTAGGTTGTTCATTCTCTGGGGTGGAACTTTCTGTGATTTTGAAAAATAAATGAGTTGAAAAATGATCATGTACTTTTGTTACCTTGTAATAAAATATTTACAAAGATATTTGAAAAAGATATGTGTTCAAAAGATACACATTTAAGCAGATGGTATTTTCCTTCGACTTATTTATTTTCACGATGTTGAAATATGCTGAAGTTTCTGGGCTTAATTCAACTGAACTGTTTAGGTTGGCAGGAATTCGGTCAAGTCCGGACCATATACATCGGAGGAATTGTCGATTTAAAATTTTCCGAAATCCATCACGTGTGTTGTGTTGATATCCGCCATACTGGTGGTCAAACGGACGTAGTGAGAGTGTGTGAGACTATGTTGTATTGTCTTTGCCAATACGTTCTTCGGCAACCCATGCCTGTCGTAAAAGGCGACAATGCTTGTCTTAAGAGGCGACTAACGGGATCGGTTGGTCAAGCTCCATGACTTGGTTGATGCATGTCATCGTATTCCAATTGCGTGGATTTATGTCAATCACTGGATTGTCTCGTCCATCCCTCGATTATTTACAGACCGCCGTCATATGGCTGGAATATTGCTGAGTGCGGCGTTAAACAACAAACAGTTAGTAATTATCTCCCCCTGCCCAAGCACCAGTAGCTGAGCAATCCAGGGACAGTGACAATGGAGGTGAGCATTCTGTGCCGGACCTTTAGCAGATTAGTATGAAGTCATCAGAGTCATGTGTGGAAACTTCAGTTGTCATGCATGACTACTGTGGACAAAACAACAACAACAAACAAACAAACAAGAAACATGGCCATGTGAAGCGATTTTATCTATTTGTTTGCAAAACATATCTACAGTAAAACAAATTATAAAAAATAATTAAAGGACAATGATTTTAGCGATGAACATGATAAGTTAGCAGGTTAGTTACTCATTTTCACTATTTTTCAGCTGCATTTCAGTTCTCACAGATGACAGATATATTACAGGAAACACCTGGTACTTTGTGAAACCTGAGAGTTCTCCCTGATACTGCCGAGCTAGGGTGGTTTTCAGCACTGCTGTAAATATGCCGAGCACCCTTGGGACTAATGAATGTGCATGTCTGCTTGTACTAGCTTGGTCTTGACCGGGCTCAATTTGCGTTTTCTTGGCTGGTTCCACTTGCCTTCGTCAGTTGTTGTCGCCCAACCCTTTGATGTAGATGCATGTAATCCCTCAAGTTTCTTTCTTGAGATGTCAAACAAAGCCTCCTCGAGTTTAAGGGCACGAGTCACAATTTGCACGTGCGTGTTAATGCACGGCGCACAATTTGGAGTGGATGTGTGCATATTTGTTAATTTACTCATACACATGTTGTTTTAATGTGAATAACACAGTGATTGTTCAGCTATAAATACCTATTGATCCATTTTGCTTACGCAATGCCACTTCTTCATGAAATATAACGTGTATGAGTGAGTGAGTGAGTATGGTTTTACGCCGCTTTTAGCAATATTCCAGCAATATCACGGCGGGGTACACCAGAAATGGGCTTCACACATTGTACCCATGTCGGAAATCGAACCCAGGTTTTCGGTATGACGAGCGAACGCTTTAACCACTAGGCTACCCGACCGCCCCTAACGTGTATGATCATGGGTATTGTGAAAGCAGGAAAACCAAGTTGAAGACAATATTATCTCTGTGGAGACGTTATCTACAACCTGGCAATACTCATGACTTGCCACGGGCCGGTCGTCCACGTATGACGTCACGTCAATAAGACAAACCATATTCGGTTGGTGCATCTACAAAATCCATACCAAACTGCCAGAACAGAACAGAACAGAATAAAACTATATATTCACTCAAGGCTAGATAGCATAATCACTATACTTAAAGAATGACTTTCACTTTGTGTGAAATGCTTGGCCCTCACTCTATGAAGGTCCATACTCCAAGGAACTCACGCAAAGTGTGAAGTCATCCCCGAAATGCATTATACATCACTAACCCGGTTTAAAATATCTTGACCCGTGAAGATTCCGGGTTAGAATAGGTCTTCAGCAACCCATACTTGCCGTAAAAGGTGACTATGCTTGTCGTAAAAGGCGACTAACGGGATCGGGTGGTCAGGCTCGCTGACTTGGTTGATACATGTCATCGATCCCAATTGCGTGGATCGATGTTCATGCTGTCAATCAATGGATTGTCTGGTCCAGACTCGATTATTTACAGACCGCCGTCATATAGCTGGAATATTGCTGAGTGCGGCGTTTAACAACAAACAAACAAACAAATAAAATATCTTGTTTTGTTGGTTTGCTGTTTCACACCGCACTCAGCAATATGACGGCGGTCTGTAAATAATCATGGTTGGTTTGTTTGTTTGTTTGTTTGTTTGTTTGTTGTTTAACGCCGCACTCAGCAATATTCCAACTATAAGACGGCGGTCTGTAAATAATCGAGTCTGGACCACACAATCCAGTGATTGATATCATGAGCCTCGATCCACGCAATTGGGATCGATGACATGCATCAACCAAGTCAGGGAGTCTGACCACCCGATCCCATTAGTCGCCTTTTACTACAAGCATAATCGCCTTTTACGGCAAGCATGGGTTGCTGAGGACCTATTATTATTTACAGGCAGCCGTCATATAGCTGGAATATTGCTGAGTGTGGCGTTAAATAAACAAGTTTGACCACCTCACCACTATAGGTGCATGGGCCCGTCACTTGAGGCCCCTCGATTCGTATCCCCTGCGTTGTTTGTTTGTTTGTT